GAGAGAGAGAGAGAGAGAGAGAGAGAGAGAGAGAGAGAGAGAGAGATGCGATAGTTTGATCTAAGATCGACTCTTTTTCAATTATTCTTTGGTAACTGATGCGCTCTATCGAAATGTTTATTGTTCAGGACGATCTACATCTGTTTTACATATCATATAAAACGTCAGAGAAGCTTAATCCTAATCTCGATTGGTACATACAATATTCCATGAGGATATGTAAATACGCCGATATCTTATATTAACAAGATATTTGGCGAGGATATGTGACGTTGTAAATTCAGGTAACATACAGAGCTGCGAGATAAGAACTTAATACAGTCGGCGGCGTTTCTTTTGTGAGCTCTCTACAAATGAAGCACTTGCGCTCGGAAGAGCGTCCAATTATCCTCTGCAAGATGTAATAGCTACTTTGTCTTACGCGGATCGATATAATCGTGAAAAACGAACATTGTTTTTGCGGACAATTGTCTTGAGGATTTTGGCAGCGCGTTGACTCCCAAGATCTGAAAATTTTACTTGTAATCAATTGCGATATATAGTAGTGTGAATTTTCCATTGTTACAGCTAGAAGTCATGTGCGCATCAAATGGTAGCTAGAGGAATTAGTTTCAGTATACGATTATCTATACCCCGGTGTGGTGTCATCTCCGTAGATGCGTCACCTACATCGATACAAAGAGATAATGAATATATACCTTGGAGACACACGCGCGAGGAAATGAGGTCTAGAATATTAATTTGAGCTGCTTTTTCAAAGCTAGGCGTGTCGGCTATTATGACGTGCGACGTTATAATTTCTGTTGCATATAAAAGTTTCAAACTCGCGCATTTCCTTCCTGCCAACGTCAAATTACGTAGTTAAAAAAAATGTTAAGAAAAAGATAATTTCTTCTAAGTTTTTTATGTTTATTGCAATTTTTTGACTCTCAGGAAAAATGACCTTCTCGTGTCACAATTTTGAGAAAAGTTAAAATTTCAAATAAAATGATATGTTAGAAAAGTTTGATTTCATTCAAAATTAAATCTATTGTATGTTTCAGTTCTTAAAAAAAATTCGTGAAAGTGAGCTTTAACAAAGTTTTTATGATCGAATATTCAGTCTATTATAGGTATCCGCAAGAAGGTTGCATAAATTAAAGTTATTACAGACTTGCACACTTAAAAACTATAAGGAAGCAATGTGCAGGTTTTTACTTGCACACTTAAAAACTATGAGGAAGCAATGTGCAAGTTTCTACTTGCACACTTAAAAACTATGAGGAAGCAATGTGTAAGTTTCTACTTGCACACTTTTTTTATTGTGATAAGCTTTATTGCGACTAATATCTGTTATACTAATATCTGTTATACTATTACAAAAATCAATTAAATAATTAATGTTTTTACTAAAATGATCCCTACTAATTGCGAATATTTCTTATTTCTATTTTGTTCAATCGGTTAGTTAATTCTTCCACGGAAGTAATGTGCAACTTTCCAATTTGCACACTTTTAAGTTATTTTTTCTAATTCTGTATCGCGTTGTATTTTGGCACTCAAGTAAGGTAGTACAATCCTTTTATTTACTCTCATTTTGATAAAAATTTATACATTGTTGCTTCCTCATAGAGGAGGCTTTTGTGATAATGAAAAAAAATTTTTTCAAGATTTTGATGGAAATAGGTTTAGAATGTTCCAAAATGTCGAGAAATTATATTAGCGGAAAATGTCCGGAAGTATGTATGTGTGTGTGTGCGTGTGCGTGTATTAAGTTGGTAAAAATGTCAGGATGTAATATTCAACGGTAACAGTCCAACCTATTTGTTATTTTAATATTTAATTTAATATTTCATATTTATTGAAATGTCTAAGTAGACTGATTTTCCCAAACAAGTGTACATTTTTCTCAGAACACGTTAGATGAAAAATACAATAAATTAAGAGAAGATTTAAATTAAAAAATGTTTATTGTATTTTTCATTTAAACATTTTTTAATTTAAATCTTCTCTTAATTTATTAAAAAATTTTATCACGTCTTTTTACACTCCCGGAGCGGTCCAGGACCTATGTGACGGATTAAAAGGAGGAGGGAGGGAAGGATGTAAGGTCCCTTCGACTGTTCTCTCGTACCGCTCGACAATTATACGCGAAAGTATTGTTTTGGGTGCCAGACGCGTCATTCGCGTCCACTAAAGTACATACGCTAGAATCACCAAAAATTCCAACCACAACACAAGACGGAATTAATGCGACGTACGAGAGGTCGACCAGCTCGACCTAATAGCTATGGGCGGGGTGGATGGAGGGCGGCGCACGATTCGGCGGGGTGACGCATAAATCATTCACTCAAATCATTGTAACGATAATATGGTTTATTATAAATGAAAGGAAAGAAGAAAATAAGGCTGAGAAACCGAGATAGGTTTGACATGAAATCGTAGAAACGCGAATTAACCAAATCATATCGTACAATAGAAAGAAACATTAGATTCTAAATGTAATTGAACACGATAAGTAGAACGCAAACGGAAATTTACCGTAACGAAATAGTGTGGATGCAAGTAGCTATATATCTATCATAAGTATATATTTCATATGGCAATAGCTGTCTAAACATATTTCCATTTCATTGGCGAAAATGCGAACTAAATATTTTACGAAAACGGTTGCCAACAGATTGTGGCAACTTTTATGGCAATAAGTATGCTACGAGCTTTCCGCTTGTTTGCGTAGGTAATTGTTGTCTGCATAATGGCTTTTAAGTTGCTCTAAACGAAATTACTGTTGTCTCGGTGACAGCGTTATGATGACAACTGAAGGGAAACTTATGCCAAACAACTATTTCCTTTCTTATGCCAAGGAACGCTTGGCTATCTGGGATATGTCTTTTTGGCAACTCTTATGAAAAAGTCATTCTTAACAAAAAAAATGGTTTTACATGGATTTTCAACTTTCTACGTGAAGCCCACCCACTCCACCCCTGCTGTAAAGCGAGGTCTATCATATTGTACGATTCGAGTTTTTAACTTTTCACGCGAAGCGAAATTCATCTCACCCCACCCTACTTCCTATTTAAGGACGAAACAAGGTTTATAATTCTGTAACCTTCTTATAAAGAATATAAAGTTTTCCTGTCAGTTGTTAACGTTGCACATTATATATTATATAGATGGCAAAATTTTAAATTGTAACATTTGCCATATAAATTAAATTCATTATTCAGAATGGATTAGTTTGTTAAATTTGTATTCATTAAAAAGCTTCAAGTTCAACCCTTTGAACAAATAATTGAAAAATAGATGAGCATCTGTGATGCTCAATGATTCAATTTAAGATTTTCTTATAACGTAACGGAATACTTAATATTTAATCACAAAATTCTTGTTAATTTTAATTTTTATAACAAATTTCTTTTAAGGACTAAAAATTTGGTAATAATATTTATATTAAAGAACACAAATCCAATGATCTTGACTTTGATGAATGTTATGAGAGTACTGATTATTTTTTTCTTATGTCTTAATCAGCGATTGCGGCATAATAAAAATAAAAATTTAATCTTTAAAGCAAGCCTTTTTTCACAACTTAACCACAAATTAACCATAAATTTCTTAAAGTTGGCATGATAAAATATTTTTTAAACTGAAATTGCATCTAATGTTAAAAAATTATGGAGAATATAATTTATTTATGACTTTTCTTTGATCTGAAAAGACATTCATTTTGTTCTTATATATAATATCTAAATTTATTAATAAAAAATTATAAAATGTATTAAAAGTCAGAAAGGTTTATTTATAAAATATGAATACACTTTTCTACTTTATATATTTTTTACGTATGTACAATCGTGTGATATTTATTCTCTTATAGTCCCAGAACTTTTAATTCAATTTCTACCTTCAAATAGAAAGCCTTTTTACAGAAATATATCAAATTATCTCGTGATAATATTCAATTTAAATTAGTCGAGACCCTGTTTGCTCGAGTCTTTATGAAGTTTTTCGGGAGAAGATACAATTTAGATGCAAATTCATTAGGTGTACATAATGAATTTTAGAACAAGAGTTAATAATATTTTATATACCTATGTATAATATATTTGAAGCACCTAACCATATAAACCCAACCATATATATGGTTATTGCAGATCGGGAAATTGCCCATCATTTGGCAGTTCCATGACACAAACGGAACTCCTGCAAGAATTGGCGAATGAATGTCGTTACGATAAGATGGTCAGGCCGCCCGGGGTGATTAATGAGACGGATCCGATCAGAATTTACACCAGAGCTTTTATCTACACGATAAAGTCCAACATGGCAAAAACTCTGGTACCTCCACAATTTTACTTATATACCTATATTTATGCCTCGCAGGTAATGCATAGTATATAAGTGTCGTTGAAGAATACTAATAAAGAAGGAATAAACGATATATTGCAGCAATTTGATGTGCATCTAATGCTGCAGTTTCGATATCTGGATAAACGGCTTAAATTCGCGGATATAGCTCCTTATTTGACTCAAATATACGGCGGTCAGAATGCTCACGAGATGATTTGGACGCCTACTGTATACGTCGCCAACGAGCGCACTTCGGCCGTAATGGGAAATGGCGTCAAAGACTTACTCATCTCTATCAGTTCTTATGGCACGGTCATGTTAAACACTAGGTATTCGATATTTAATCTCGAAGAATCTCCGTGCACCCGGCAGAAGATGCTCGGACGAATTTTTATTTCAATCTTCCTATCTTATTTTTTTCATATTTTATTTTGTATTATATAAATTTTTACGATGACTGGCCAGCGACAGGCCGATTACGGAGCGTTCACTTAAATTTCAGATTGGAAACCACCCTCAACTGCGGCCTACGATTAGAAAAGTTCCCATTCGACGTGCAAGAGTGTCCACTGGTATTCGAAAGTTGTAAGTTATCATTATTATATTATTCGCACTGTACGATATTTTCACTAGTAGCTAGTCAATATTAAATAAAAAACATCGATTTCAAAAAGTAGACTAACTTGTTTTCTTCGTCATCAATTGAATAAATCGGCCAGATTAAAATATCTCAATTTTATGAACTTTCTATTTTAAAAAAAGCATGCTAGTAACAGTCGTTAGTAAAAAAAATATCAACCATTTGGCATCATGATATGTATTAAGGAGAAAGGTGCACTTGAAAAATAACCGAAATATAAATTATTTAAATAAAAAAAGTAGATTTTGCTTCTCGCATGATTTGGATTATGTGAAATGATTTATGATTATGACTAAATGTCTAAAAAAGGAGGTTGAATATATTTCTTACGCGGATTAGAGCAGACAGTACATTATTTGTGACCGCACAAGTATTGAACGGAAGTTTTTTAATGATTAAATTCTGTTATTTTTAGTTTTATTATCTAACCGTCTTGGTCCTAACCGGATTTGAACTCGGCTGGTCTCCGGCTCACTAGACCAGCGCACATATCTCTGCGCTATGATCGCCACTAGTTTTATTATCTAAACAATCTATTATTATTAAATTTTTATTTATTTCCAATATTTTTCCGATCTTATCGTGATGGTTTATAAAAATTTATATCAAAAGTCCAAACTGGCGATGAGATTTTAAGTATATTACAATAAGTATAGATTCGAATCTGTATGATACATAATTGGTATAATTTCTAACTCTGTATGATTAATACGAAAAATAATAGTAGTACTTTTCAAGTAGACTTAATTCTGGACGAGATTGGTTTGAACACACTATGAGTATCTCGAAATACAAGAGTATTTCTTCCAAACTCAAACCTGGATTAAATATATGTTCGAATCTTTTATGAGTATTTCACTAGATATTTTACATTTCTTTGAATCAAAATTATGTAAAGCGATAATTATTTTAATATATCATTTTTTGATGATTACAAATATACAAAAAATTATTAATAATTGAAATTACATATAATAAAAATATGATTAAGAATATAGAATAAAAGTTACTCAAAATCTTTACTCATTATCTTACAAATTATCTTAAAAATCACGATATTATAACGTTTTTGTGCGACGTCATTAAGACGTCATAAAAAAGACGTTTTAAATTTTGTATTATTTGGACAGTGACTTCATTGGACCAGTAATGACCAGTTTTTGACGAAGCTAGGTAGGGATGAGATCAAGTTCAAGATGTACTTAAAAATCCAAGTCAAATCCAATAATCAAGTTTTATTTCCTTGGACTTGTGTAATTTAATATTCATAAAAAATAATATTTCATACATTGTATTTGCAAAGTAATCGAATTCCGATTAGTTAGTTTCGAATTTTAGAATGAGTGCCTGCAGGATTCGAAATGTACTTTTAAGCAGTTTCTATCGTAAAAAATCGAATCTTTTACAAGTAGTATTCGAATATATTATCACAATATATAAGTTATAATGTAAAATTGTAATATAAAAAGATATTTGTGTGTAATATACATACACATTAGACTTCACAGATTAAACTTCTAGTAAAGTAGATACTCATAAAAGATTCGAAAATATTATTTGATCCAGACTCGAGTCTATTTAGAAGTAACATTCTTGTTTTTCAAAGTACTCATAGAGGGTTTGAACCCATTTCGTCTAGGTCCGATGTACTCTTGAAGTATATTTAAAGTATTGCTTTTATTTTTCGAAGTAATCAGAGAGTTCAAAACTGCGCCAACAGATTCGAATCTACTAACAATAAGATATTTATCACCGTATTATAATATAAATAGTTATAATATGACAGTTAATAAAAAATGATAAAATGTTGTTGAAAACGATAAAAAACCAAATTGATAAGAATGTCAATAAAAATCAATAAAATCTTAAAAATGCGAAGAAACACGAGCAAAACGAAACCTCTTTCTTTCCGAAGGGACTCACAATGTAGACGACATGGTGTTAGACTGGGATGAATATCCGATTGTCATCGCGGATAATTTATATCTGACCGAGTACAAACTTGTGGACACGTGGGTTAATCGCTCCGGAGTATCCTATACTCCATCGCAACATCATTATGGTAAAATTCAGTCGATGAAACGTTTCTGATAAAGAAACGAAAATGTCGCATTGGACATTATTGTCATTAAAATTATGGCATAATGATTGCAGCTGGCAATTTTAGCTCGATAAACATTACGTTCAAACTGGCCCGTGAAATGGGATTCTTCATGATGGATTATTACGTGCCGTCTATATTGATTGTGGTGGTTTCATGGGTGTCTTTTTGGTTGCACCAAGACGCGAGCGCGCCGCGAATAGTTTTAGGTAAAATATATCTGCACGCTCTTGCGCGCGTCAATATTAAATAACATAATATAACACTTGCATGAAATTTATACTTTCAGGAACAAATACTATCTTAGCATTTATGACACTTGCATCGAAAGTCGAAAATTCGTTGCCGAAAGTCTCTTACATAAAAGCGAGCGAAATTTGGTTTTTGGGCTGCACGATATTTCTGTTCGCGGCAATGGTCGAGTTTGCCTTTGTCAATACCATATACAGGAGGAAGTGCGTAACATTTTCGTTGAAATTTTAATGCCTACAGCTTTGATTTACTATTCGATATAAATTTTATTTAAGGATATAATGCATTGTGTTTGCGCAGAAAAAATGTACCGTTGAAAAAGGTCAACAGCAAGTACATTCTTAAGTCTACCCTGACACCGCGATTGGCAAGAAAACAATTTCAGAAGAATACAACCGGTTTGGAACGATCGCGATCATGGTCGTCATTAGATAATGCGAATACAAACAATGAACAAGATTTCACAAGTCAGAATTATCTCACCGTACACGTGAGTCAATTAAATAATTATCAATGCTAATTATAATATTGTAAATTATATTAAAGAATATTCTCTTAGGCCGGTATTCATAGTCAGTTCTTATTTTAAGACCGTTTTAATTGATGCTAATACGGCTCTGTGATTGGTTCATATAACATCTTAAGATCGTACTTAAGACGGTCTTAAATATAAGATTCGACTATGAACACCGGCCTTAGAGAAAAAAACATTTAGATAAAGATTCTCAAGTGTCAGTAATCTCAAACAAAATCATTTTCATGTTTATCGCGTAATATTCTTGTAACTGATCGAGGAAATTGCGTACGCGCGGGTGTGTATAGAATAAGGAAAAAATATGACATTAATTCCTATAAATATATTCTCTCTCAATGATTTTTCAAAAATAAGTTTTATATAAAAGTTTTAACGAAGGGAATCCCTTATATTATATTATATCCCTTCAAGGGATATAATATATAAAATAATTTTTTTATAATATATTTTTTAAATAAAATATATTATGTATTAATACTTTTTTAAATAAAAGCATAATATTTTCTATATACATATATTTTATTTCTCGATTAAGATAAAATCATTGAGAAAATATTTCAACGAAGAGATATAATATAGATATAATATAGATACATATATATAAAATAAACTCTTTTTATAGTATATTTTTGACCCTTTTTGGTCACACTGGGTTAAATACACCTCAGCGTTTTTTGACTTCGAAAATGACCCAGTAAACCAATGGAAATGGGCCTTGTGCCGGCATCTACAGAGGTAGTTGGGACCTTCAAGTATCGATCCCCGTCGGTGGTATATTTTTCGGCCCGTTAGTTCTCTCTCGACATTTTTTTCCGCAAAAAATCGCACCTTTATAACCTCAAAATCAATATACTTTTTGGAACGGCCGCATAAACTGCAATAATTAGTGAAAAGTGCGTCATCTGAGGATGAAAATACCGTTTGAAAAATTAAAATATCGTAAAAATTGAAAAAGTTACATTAGTTTTTGTGAAAAGTCACTTTTCCGACTTTCTTCTTTTCAACAATTTTTTTACATATGTTAAATTAATTTTTTGCAAATCAAACCTATACAGTCTTTTTAAGGAAGACTTAAACTACAACAGGATATTTTTTTTCTTTTTTTTAAGGTCATCTAATACAATTTTTTATACACGTGCAAACACGCTGGGGGTGTATTTCACCCAGTGTGACCGGTACGGAATTCTCGGGAAGTGTGACCGAAAAGGGTTAAAATAAAATATGCTATTTATAATAAATAGTTACTTTTTTTAATTATTAATTGTTAATATAAGAAAATATTATAAGGAATTACTATACACAAGACAAGAGACAGAGAGGTTCCAAGAACAAGATGTTTTGGAGATTTTATCTGTAATGGTCTTGAATGTCACCACATAATATATGTATATATATGAAAAATTAAATTAAATAATTAAATAAAACCACGAATAATATTCAACAATGAAAAAGAGACTTCAAACATGATTACCGGAACTTAATGCATGGATTGTAGTATCCCGAATTAAATTCTGTTGTAGAGTTATAGGATTGATCATATTTTTCTTTTCCAGAGTTTTCCGAGCACGATCAACATTCCATCGGTAAGAATAGAAGAGGATAAGGATCCGGATTATTCCGTTGGTAGTATCACAACCATCGACAGTACTCCGCCGGTGACTAAGCCGTTTTCACGCAGGCCGACTCTGGCCAAGTTACACAATTTCACGACAATGACACCTCAGCAGATCGCTCAGTGGATCGATAAACGCAGCAGGATAGTATTTCCCGTATCATTCATCATATTCAATGTTTTTTATTGGTCTTTTATATGGATCTGAAATCGCGCTGTGCAATGAATTTCAGTCGAATTTCCTTATTTTCAATACAAATAGTCAAATCTGTCGTAAACAGATTTTGTAAGTGTTTACTGACAAACTATGTCGGCAAAATGCCAGCAAGAATATAACAAAATATATGTTAACAAAATATGATGAGAGATTGACTGAAGAAACCGAACAGAGTCTGTAAATTTCGTATTTAAATGATTATGAACAGATTTTGTTTGATTTCTGCTGGCAATTTGTAATCGAATTATGTCAGCAGGCTCTACTAGCAAAACACGAGCTTAATGCGGATACAGTTGATACCAATCTATTGCAATATCCTGCTCGAATTAGATGACAAATAACTGCTAACATTATACTGTTAACAGTTTGTTACCGGGAGCACATCCTTTGTGGGATTAAACCTCTTATTCTTTTCTCTTAATATCTTTTTTCTTACTCTATTCTAGCACATGTAGAATGAAAGTATCTTTTTGCCCATAATTGCAATAATATTTCCATTTTCCACACATGTGACTAATTGTAAACAGCAAATATGAAATAGTAGGGAAGTAACACAAGACATATTAAGCATCCAATAATTAAGAGCGCTAAGAATAGGAAAGTTCAACTGAATTTAACTTGGTGAATACGTTCCCTGCACAATGAAATTTGAAACGGTGAGAATATATAAAGACGGAACGCTGAGACGATATCAACGAAGTATTGCGAATGAAAAATCGCAAAGTTCTAAGAGATTTAATCGTGCAACAGTTTGTTAGTGTCTAAAATTTCTATGTTTAAAAGTTGTTAACATATTTCCTATTGGCGCAACAAATAACAAATATATAATCTCTACAAAATAGAACTAGGAAAGTAGGACATCTCCATTTTTTTCTACGTAACATCTGTATCAATATATGCTAGTTTTCATTGTTTGTAATTTATGCAAAATTCTTTACAAGTTAGATCGAAGGTATGTGATCGTCGTATAATATACTTCGTATGTTAAATAATTTGATGTTTTTTGAAGAAATTCTAATATTGTAACTTCGGTGATGCGATATGAGAATAATTTTCAAAAGTTTTTTTTAAAATAATAGTACAAATTGCAAATATTGGTGCAACTAATTTTCTTTGAGTTAATAATAAAAACAGGGTATGTAGTGGAGACACATTACACATAAATTAATTTAATATTGTCATTAATTTCATATATGTATAGTATATATGATTACTAAAAGTTAGATATTGTATTAGATTAGACATAGTTGTAAGTAGAAATTAATTTTAAAGAGTGATGGCAAAAAGACCTGTTTTTTCGCTCATTTCTTGGGCGAAATTCGGGACCTCGAATTTCAAACTTTTTTTTTATGCCAAATAGTACTATTAGATGAAACATTAATCCTAGTAAAATTTTAAGACGAGCATAGGCACGGTTCCGGAGATACAAGGGAGTGAAAATACGGAATATCGAAAATTTGTATAAGGGTAACTTTGTCATTTTTAGAGATATTTTAAATCCGTAAGCGGGTGCTGTTTCGGAATCGTTTGTACTCGATTCTGAAACAGCACCTGCTTGTAAATTTAAAATATCTCTAAAAATGGTGAAGATAGCTCTTACTCCAATTTTGAAAATTCGGTACAATCACCCCCTTAAGGGTACAAACAAAACTGGCGGTGGTACAAACGGGTACAAACGATTCTGAAACAGCACCCGCTTGCGGATTTACAATATCTCCAAAAATGACAAAGTTACCTTTATATTACGAATTTTTGATATCCCGTATTTTCACCCCTTTCATCTCCGGAACCGTGCCTATGCTCATCTTGAAATTTTACTGGAATTAATGTTTTATATAATAGTACTATTTGCCATGAAAAAAAGTTTGAAATTCAAGGTCCCAAAAATGGGCGAAATTTGCCATCACTCTTTGTAATATATTATACTATATTTCTGTACAAATAAGTCTCACATTTTCTATCAGATATTTCATATCTCTAATAGTGTTCATAATTCGAAAACTAAAAGATTTTGCGTTCTGAATCTTTTATGTTGGTCTTTGCTGCAAAAAGAAAGAAGTTAAAAGCTGACAATAAGTCTCGTCGCGTCAAAGTTATCAGAATTGTACTCGTTTCTTTTATATCACATTGTATACATACAGTCATATTTTTATTAGAAACAATAAATCACCGAAATTTGATGACGCTGCTTTTTTCCTTCCTTCTTTCCCTTCGAAACATTTTCTATCTTTCTAGCATGTGCGTGCGTGTCGAGTCAGAAGATATGATCAATCTCGAAGAGATACCATCGGGTGTGCGCGCGCGTGCACGCGCAATAAGTTACGACATATATATAGATATATATGTATGTCCGAGAAAACGAGAAACGTGGGAGTACAAACGAAGGTTACTCGAAGGGTTGAGGACGGCCAATACTCACGTATCACGCAATTTCCTTGTGCCAGTATTTCTCCTATACCCTCGCGAAGCAATTAAGCGGCTGGAAATTCTTTTTCGTGCGCGCTCTTAAAATAACAGCACGATATTTCTGTCTCCGCTCTAGCTCTTTCTCTCTCTTTTTCTGTTTTCTCGTCAAATATCGCTGAATTTTTACCGAACTTATTAGCGATTATATTAATGCACATTGCCATTGCCATAAATGGTTCTGTCGTATTAATTACGCGCGTTACATCATCACCATTTTGCAGTACAGCATTCTGCAACATTCTCCGCATGTATAGTAAAAAATAAAAACGGTCTAATCAACCTGTTTATTATTATAATTTTTTCGAATTTTGCTAATGCTATCAATAATCTAAGAGTACATCATTATTTGGAGTAGCAGTCCTTTTCCGCCGCGCCGCGGAATATATAATGTTCATTTAATGTTCCTCGTACCTAAATATCGATCGGCGATATCTGTCCAGTTTACCAGCGGTGCTGACCTCGATGCTTAACTACGTCCAGCATTGATTACTTTCGTCGATAGAAAATGATAGTGGAACGGATAACCACGCTCGTGGCGGAAGACACGGTTTCGCGTTCTTTTCACTTAGGATACAAATAGTTTTTAAGTCTTAAAACTACTAATAGTTTTTAAGTCATTATGAATCGCCGTTTGTAAAAATAGATAAAAAACATGCTGATGCACATAAGTTAAAAAGTAATGTTCCAATACTTGAGACACATCACAAAATTATATTATTTGATTCTTTAAAATTTTAAGTATTTCTATAATTAAAATGTTGATACTCTTTTCAAGGTTCATTTTAACTCTTTATGTTCTTATAATACATATATGTACTTTGCAACTTTATCATTTTGTTTAGGAATAATATACTGAAATGATGTACATTTTGTTTTAAAGATCAGTCATAAAACTATAAAAAAAGTTGTTCCATTCCATAAAAATTTACTATTTATTTGAAAAATCCTAAAAAATCATGAAAAATAATAGAAAAAAGAAACAAAATAGGCGTATAAAATCTATTGAAGATTATAAAACACTATCAGTTTTAATTCATCTTTAAAAGAAATGATTGTTAAATATTCTAATTATTTCGACTCTCTTAATACCCATAAACTAATCGATATAAAAATAAAATGGATTGAGAAGTTTTTGAGATTATTCTCTTTCTCTCTCTTTGATTTTGAAAAAGACATTAGAATTTTAAAATTCAAAACGATAATAAGACGATTATGACAGGCGTAAAGATTCAATGAACCTGTTTTTAATAAGATCTATGAAGTTATTAATCTTAAAAGTAATATTAGAGTTTCAAAAATAAATATAGCGGATATAATATAGAAGAGAGTTTTGCTATATTAAAATATTATATAATGTATATGCTGTTTTTTTACGAAAGAAAAGGCTTGATAAAGATTGTAACTTTCATTTTATTAAAAATCATTATTCTTAAAGCATTTTATATATCTTAATTAAAAAAGTGACTTGTAATTCATTTTCAAAATAATTTTTAATTGATCAAAGTAGTTTTGGAAAATTCGGGGTGGAGATGTGATAAAATTCTGCTAAAGATTTATTTTGCTTATTTAAACAAATATTTATAAATTAATAAAAGTTATTCATAATATTATGTGACTTATTTCATTAAATATATAATTTTACACATGTTGTTATGTTTAATAGAGAAAATATTTAAATATTCTCATATCAGTGATATCTATAATAACACTAGTGAAAACTATTGTAAAACAAAATTTTATATTATCATTAATATACTTAATATATGATTGCAAAACTTTTTTAAATAATTGCACTGTACATACATGCGTATGCACGTACACATATGTATAAAGTTTAAGTCCATTTTACATAATATGTGTGTAATTTATGTCCGCACACGGGCGTGTATGTATGTATGTGTGAACAAATTGCAGGATAAGATTGTATTTTTATAATTTTTATACCGATTTTATGATACGTGTATCAACTATACGCGACATAATATAAAATTAAAAATAAAATTTTATTCTGAATTTTTGAAAGAGCTGAAAAATAATCGATGTTTTCTTATATCAGAATATATAAAATAAATATCGATTCACATATAGTATAGCTAATAATGTTCGCTAAAACTGGCGAATAAAGAGTGTATTCGCGAGAAAAGTTAACAGTACCGTATTAAACGTAGTGCTATGGCTAAGTATCTGATTGATTATAATCACGGAATTGCTCGGAAAATGTAATTAACTCACTCAGTATCCACTGCTCATCCTTGACATTCTTGCGTTATTAACCGTGACTTTATCAAGGAAGCGCAACATGTTAAACGATCGAGGGCTTCAATTCCACTTAATTCAAGTTGTCGCGTATCACGCATGCAATTACCACGTATCTGTAAGCTGGATATTACATTACGCATATTCTTCTCGCTCGTTTTCTTTACTATGCGTAAATAATTCGCTGAGATCTTTCGTCTTAAAGATGGCTATTTTAAAAAAGTGTACAAAGAGTATATTAAAGAGTACCTATATTAAAAAGAGTATAAAGCTTCATGTCCGTGCATATTAAATTAAATATTAAATATATTTCTGGAGTAAATATATCTTTCTCTTTGTATAATATTTTATATAATATTATACAAAAATTTCCAAAAAATTGCAATGTTGTTATTACAATTGTCATTATTTCATATCAATGTTAGCTCTTTTTTCTCTCTCTTTCCTCTTTTTTTTCTGTGCTTTGATTTTTTTACGTGCTTTCTTGAGAGATAATACTTTTGGATTCATATATAGATTCTTTTTACTTTTTTAAGTAATTCCGAGATAAAAAGTACTATTTTAATAAATGTAGCTTTCATCATTCCCAAGATTAGTAGCGCCCATAAGTTTTGGCTCATAGGTAAACGTCCTATTAAATCCCTGGGCATCAAAGCGCTAGAGGTGCCATAGTTTTAAAGAAATGAAGAAATTATAGGTAAACAAGCCCTTGAAAAAAGAGCGGCGGTAATTGTGTACATGGAGGGGGTCACCTTGGATGACCTTGATATTTTAGTATGTTGTCAAGGTCACCCTCCTGAGTGACCTTTAGAAGGTTTCAGACCGCGCTCGTTGTTTATTCAAAAGTTATTAACAAAAAAATTTGAGAAATGTGGCACCTCGTTTCGCGTGGAAAGTATATGCGTGGAGGCAGTAGGTTCCGCCTTCTTGCGGGGGGCTCCCTATTGTTAAACTAGACACATAGTGTGCCTTCAAAGTACATGCGTGGGCTTTTCACGCCTGGAAAGTTATAAACCCGTTAATGAATATGCTAATTAACCCTTGGGAAAATATACTTTAAATAACTTTAAAGTTCTTGAAAGTAATTTTAAAAATTTAAGAGTTTATTTAAGAAATTTTTAGGTAAATTAAAGTGTAACAGAGATATTGTAAGCGACCCAACTGGCCAAATTTTATTGATCTAAAACGCTACGTTTCGACCGTGGATCCGGTCCTTTTCAAGCGCAAATACACCTCTCACAAATATATTAGTCAGGCATAATGCCCTAACTACGCCGAATCTAAAAAATATTTGTGCGTCGGGATCAAACGATACAATACAAAATATTCGTTAAACGGCATACTTCGTTAGATGTTTGTGTCATGTCAGAGCCGTGCGGTGGTGAAATTTAGACTAAACTCATTAATGAACGTACAATTGCATAATTGTGAAACTAATGTTTATTAGGATTTATATAAACATAGATATTTATTAAGAAAAGGGGAACGTAACAGTTGCTCTTGACATTAACCAAGACCCCACGAAAAAACTCACTTCATGCTCACGGGAATTACTAACTAGATGGAAAAACTCGAATTTTATCACAGGGTCAACTCATAAATCACTCATAAATCATATTGCAGTGACGGCCGGAGTACTACCGAGAGCGTACGGACTCCAAAAAATTCATAAACTTAATTATCCGTTTAGATTAATTATATCATCAATTAATAGCCCTATATATAATCTGGTCACCTTCCTCCACCGAATAATGTTTAAAAGCTTCCCGACAGCTCATAGCCATGTGAAGAATAGTTTTGAGGTAAAGGGATTCTCTAACGTGCATATAAACAACGGCTTTAAATTGATTTCATCAGACGTCGTCTCTCTATTTACGAATGTATCTATTGAAATGGTATTAGACAGCATATCAGTGAGATGGAACTACATTGCAGAAAATTTCAAGATTCCTAAATCTGAGTTTTTTTATCGCGGTAAGGTTAGCACTAAATTCTACATTTTTCATCTTTAATGGAAAAATCTACCAACAAACCTTTGGCGTTTCCATGGGCTCTCCACTTTCCCCTATAGCGGCTGACATTGTATTGCAAGATTTAGAAATAAAGGCCCTTGTAATTTTAAAATATACTCCACCATTCTACATGAAGTATATAGATGACTTTGCACTTGCTGCACCTTCCGCTTTACTGCAGCACACTTTGGATGTTTTTAACTCTTTCCCCCCCAGGCTGCAGTCCACCATAGAAGTTGAGGAAGGTGATACGCTCAATTATTTGGAGATCACCATGATACTAAATCATAATAGATTAACCTTCGATTGGTTCCATAAATTAATATTCTCCCGGAAAGTATTTAAATTTCCTGTCACAGCATCCGGTTTGTCAAAAAGGAGAGACGGTTATAAGCTTAATTGACAAAGTTTTTTGGCTGTCTCACCCGTCATTTCTTTGCGATTCATTTTCGGAATATTACGCGAACGTCTAAAATTTTTTTTAACGGAGACTAATGCTAGTGCGATAGACAGAATGAAGATAAAGCTGTTACTTTTTTCACTATACTTTACATTCCTACGATTACATTACAGAACAATTTAAGAACATAACGAGGGATCTAAAAGTGAGACTATCGTATAATAGCCTAAATAAAATGTGAACTTTCATAAAAGCTCATAAGAATAGTCTCTCGGATTCTAAACAATGTAACGTGGTATATAAAATTAATTGTAATGATATGCGACGTGTCTTATGTAGGCCAAACGGGCAGACAATTACAAACAAGAATTAAGGAACACCTTAATTAACCATATAAAAAAGAATACGTCTAATCATTCTGTTATCAGATCATAGATTAGCATTAAATCATGATTTTGATTGGGATAACGTGGAAATTCTTGACAATGAGTCGTATTTTTATAAACGTTTAATTTCGGAGATGCTGTGCATAAAGAGACAGGAAAATGGGTTGAATCTGCGGACGGACACGGAAGGTTTACCGGACGCTTATTTGAACGTTATTGATAGGTTACAAAAAATTTAGATTTATCTGTTGTGAATATTTATCCCCACTGTTAACCCATGTACACACCGCTTTTATTATTTTAACGATTTTAATCTTCCGATTTCTACCAACGCTTCACTGACTCACGACACGTCAGAGTGACAGGTACATTTTAACACTGCGACTTTCTGTTCTGTAATGCTCCGTAAGTAAGAAATTGTAATTCTGTAGGTTTTAATACTGATACATTGCGTTTTTTAATATACTAGACACTACAGACGCGCGCTACGCGCGCGCTATTTATCTTTAACATTTCACTATTAACCCTATTATACACAACTGTCAAAATATACAATGACAGCTGCAAATGAAGTAAGCGCAGCAAGAAAACCAATCGGCATCGCGGAAAAGCGGCAACAATAAACTTCACATCTCCTTTTTAGAAAAGGATTGCGATTCCGATTTACGCTTTAGAAAAGACAATCGAATTTGAATCTCTCCTTTCTTCCTGGTCTTCCAACCTGGGAGTTAGGCATCAAAGATGCGATCGATTCGGAGCAATTGCATACTGGCATATCCACAGCCTGACAGACTACCGAACATTCGTATGAATTTTATTTTATTGATTTGACTGCGCTTGTCGACTGACCGACTATATCATTTTATCGCGTTTTACCATTAATTTATATCGTTTGTAATTTTCATGTACATTAATTTTGTTCACACGCTGAAGATGACACAAAGAAAGTGTCGAAACATCCGAATATGTATTGACTAATATATTTTATCTTATTAACTATATTTTGATTGCGCAATAATTACCGCGCGTGGCTCCGATTGCCTCTCTCACTTTCTCTTATTTGATTTATTGAGAAAGTTTGACAAAATCGTCAATTTCGAGCCGATACATAACTGCAATCGCGCAAAAAAACGCCTCAATACGATCTTTGAACTCATACTGACGTTTGAAAAGAAATTCTGCAATATAGCCATTGTATGTACAATAATTTCGCAGAAAACGCGTGAACACGTGAATGGTGGAGCCGAAAACAACGATTTGCTGCTTTAAATAACTTTTCTTTGTTCATGCATGTACTATTTGGACATATATATTAGTCATTTATGCTTTTTAATACTCAAAATAACTGCGCTACATTTCTTAAATTTTTTTTGTTGATAACTTTTGAATAAACAACGAGCGCGGGCTGAAACCTTCTGAAGGTCACTCAGGAGGGTGACCTTGATAATATACTAAAATATTAAGATCATTCAAGGTGACCCCTTCCATGTACACAATTACCCTATTCTGAATTTGGAAATGATCAACTGAGAACTTTGCACAAAAAATTTAGTAAATAAATATATAATTGTGGTTTGAATGACGATTTTTTTGAAAAAATCATTCAATTTAGATACTTATGAAGAATTTTCTTCCGATATTCTACTTCCAATATCATATTTGAAATTAATACGGAATAAAATTCAAGCTACTTTCTCGAACGTCGAAGTGGCAATAAGGTTATATCTTTGCCTAGCTTTAACGGTCGGCGATGCGATGAGAATGAAGGGAGATAGTAGGATGCAAGTAGAGAAAAGTAGTATAGAAGTGTTTAGAGAACGTGGTAAGATTGAGGTTATGCCATGATGACGAGTCAGTTAGGCGGTAAATGGCGGTAATGGCCGGTAATGTAGGTGAAGTAGGGAAGGTTTCGATCGAAATATTTTAAAGTTATAAGGTTTACAGTTATAGAGTAAGATAACTCTTACGTTATTTTCTTTATTATATTATTTCTATATTATTGCATCTGGAATTTTTAAAGTGCTTTTAAGTTTTAAAATAAGATATAAATATTTATCTTCTTTTATATATCTGTCCTTATTAGGAAGAAATAATTTATAAAATTTTCTTTAGTTTTTATAGTTTGGTTCCATTGAAACGAGTATAAAGGATAAAAGATTCGTGTAAATGCTTTTAAGTAAAAAACAAAATTGTATTAAATTATCGTCAGGTTTAAATATATTAACCTTTAGAGGCCGGGAGTGGTCGAAATATCGACCACCCAAAAAACACAGGCTATTTGATGTTTTCAGGCAAAATTTGTGTGTTGAATAAGGGAAAAATAGTAAAAAAAAAATCCAAGTCCTTTTCCCGGCCTCTAAAGGTTAAGTAGCATGTTTTACACAATAATTGCAGTATTTTAACAAATGGAGCCGCAAAACAATTATAGAAACACTAAATAAACTAGCAAACCCAGACCAAAACAAGCAGCTCTCCAACAATTAATAAATCTGGCAGAGTTACAAATGAAAATTAAATTGTAAAACATGGGTGTACTGAATAATATTTTAAAAACACTTTAAAAATTTATAATAAATAAAATAATAACAAATTTAACTTACAGTAATGCTTACTTTGATAGCAAATTGCTCACTCGGTGTTTTCTGTGTTTGCTGGGTACTTATCCCTGTAAAAAAAACTTAAAATTATGAAAAGTAAATTTAAGCATTTTTAACTTTAAAATTGTCGAAATTTACTTTTCATAATTTTAAGGTTCCTTACATACTTCTTGAAGTAAGTTGCCTTATAGTTATAAGATTACCTTAAACAATAGTTTTAAAGTGTCCAAATTTACCTTTAATTTTTTTAAGTTTTTCTCTAAAAGTAAGTTTTAAGTTTTTTTTTTAAAGATTTCTAAGGTAAATTTTTCCGAACAGTAGTGGCAAACGATCATTTTCGGCACTGAAGAGAGTGAAAAGTGCTTTTAGGTCGACATTAGACCATGAACAGCTAAACAACCTCTCTATGTTAAACATTGAGTTGGAGTTTTCAGCCAAAACCAATACTGTAATAAAACTTATTCAATAATGTAATAAAAATATTTCGGAGAAAAAAACACGTAAAGTGATTTTATTTAAAAAATGTTCTATTTTTTAAATTATTTGTCCTTGTTTCTTGCTTCAAAAATGTGTTTTAGTAATTTAATAAATATTAAAAATGTTATTTAATTATTTACAGTTTATTTATTTGGGGGGAGGGGGGCTAGATTGAGGTGTTCGAAGATCACAAGTCCTTGAACGCAAATTTTATAAACGCGGCCCTGCCCAAGATGCTCTCATTCTATCGTTAAATATTACTGTGATAACATTGGAAGGAGAAATAAATAAATCGAACGCAAATGGACTTTTTGCTCTTACTTCAACGATTATGTTTTCTGTAATATAGCAGCGAAAGCAGCAACAGTTTAACCGCGTCATTAATACAGATTGCCCGGTCGAACATCGCGGTATACGGGAGTATATTGCGCGTATTCATCGCGCGTGTAGCGTAAGCTCGTAGCGGCTTTTACTTGTGCAGGTGGACAGGTGCTTTTCAGTCGATCGCCTGACTGTGCTGTGATAACATACACCTCGATTACTTTTCGAGCGCGTTCAATTTGAATTTGCGTCGCGCGTTTATACGATACGCGTTCAATTATTATCTGTAGCCGATGCGTGCACGCAAACGTTTTGTATATCAATTAATTTAATTATCGACATCGCAGGGGATAGTGTTATCTCTCCTAAAAATATATATCTTCCTTTAACTTCTTCCTTCTATCGCGCTTTGTTTTGACGATTTTTCACGAAGCTTTTTCCGTTTTTCCCTTTTTTTATTACCATCGATTTTTGTAAGATTTTATGATTATTCGCATTCGCAAATTGGAGTTCGCAAGTTACAGACGATATTTCGTGACGAAATGATTATTCGCGGACACGTCTGTCCAAGGAAATGTTACGACGAAAATCGATGTGGGTGAATCAAACGGTAACGAGACCTGTGCAAGTGTAAATTTTATATAGATGCGGTATTGTCGGACGTCTCGTTAACATCGTCTAACGGGTCACGCCAATTGATCTTGATTGCATTGCGTTTTAACGACGACACGTGTAATACCGCAACATGAAGATGACACAATACAACAGCGGTATCAGTAGTAGCAGCAGCAGTAGTAGTAGCAGTAGCAACGGTCAAAACAACTTTAAAGATCGCGGAAATGAAGGAACGCTGGAGGAGAAGCTTATGGTACATATTGTGACTCATTTAAAATTGATCAAATCGATTGCGACTCGAAAGTAACTGCCTGTTTAATAAAATAAAAAACGACACGACTGAACTATATAAAATCTCTTTACGAGTTTATTTAAAGAAAAAAATAGCCAACCTAATTTCCTTAAATTTTACGTTATTCACGTGAGGTGTGAAATGTATCCCAGCTTTAGAAAGCTATACTAAAACAGAGTAAAACTTTTTCTATTAATTGAATGCTGCACAAATTGTTTCATAATTAAGTAGGGGAAAACTTTTGCGCTTTATCTGTAGTTATATTATTGAAAATATATAAAATATTATCAATCCTATTTAATCGTAAATCATATCAAAGGGAACAATGAAAATTGAAATATAATGTTGGAGTGTCAAATACACGCGAGTAATGAGGATTAAAGGGAGAATTAAAGATTTTTGATAGATAGCGCATATATTCAATGTAAAATTAGTAAATCCTACAAAATGTGTTACAGACGTTTCCCAAGGAAACTAGCTTGTAACTCTTTATGTGAATCCTGTATGTTTCTTTGAAGATATTCTAAAATATTCAAATAAACAACTTTCTGAAATTTTACTACGACGCACAGTGGGCTAGATTTTGAAAAAAGTGGACAAAAATCAAAAAATAAAATTTTATATAATTGCCTCTAGCTCGTATTATCCTACAGAGGGAGCCTCTATGTGAATTTTGACGGAAAGTAAGGCGAGTATCTTCTATACCTACGGCTACTAGGCATTTCGAAGATCTGTACTTTTGACACATTCGTGTTGGCGCGATTTTTATTTAAGTGTGTGAAATCAATTCTGTTCAATGGAGGGTGATCCTGAAGGTTTGTACAATATTTGCATATGTTTTGACGTTACTAAATCATAGTTTATAGTAATTTGGAAAAACGACTGATATCTGAAAAATATGACATTTTTATTGACAAATACTTGAAGTGAAACTGTTCATAAAGTTTATCGCCCACTACCGCCCAGGCTACTTTAATGCTGTTTGCGAAGCCAATACTGTATGGAATCGGAATCATGTTGATTTGCATGCCGAAACTTGCCTATACGTTTGTAGTACAGAACAACGTACTTTCGTAAAAACCCCATAATAAACCCATAAAAAACCCCAGATCACGGCATTTTATAATAATCGGATGAGTTTTCCGAAAAATGGTCCGCCATATTGGATCCGCAATTTTGTTTTTGGACATTTTAATGACAGATTCGTGATCAGCGATATTAAAAACCCTTTACTACTTATTGCAAATATATAAAAGTAGTAATTACATTTTTGAAAAACTAGCCCACTTTTTTGAAAAACTAGCCCACTGTGCAACGGCCTCAATTTTGCAATTATAAAGAAATCGTTTTGATTCAATCACGTCGTTTATTTCGAAGTATTTATTTTCGATTATGCAATTTTTGTTAATTAACTGTGATTTTTTAATCAGAATATTATCTTCATCCGAATATTTTTTAATCACAATCTCCTTGATCGTAAAGGGGCTGTGAAATATTTTAGATTTGTTAGGAGTAACGGTTTCGACAAGAAGTTTGCGGAATAAAAAGGTCTCGTTAGATATAGGTATATGTAATTTACGGTTTAGACAATGCGCTTCGACCCCAAAAAGGGTCGAAACGTACGTGATGTAATTTGACATATTAATCGTGATGTAATTTTGACATAGTAATTAACTTTGTATAATAAATTTTAGCGATTAAATATCACGCTCGGCTCTTATTGCCTAAATTAACTTGAAAATTTTAGATTTGGTTATTATCGAGCAATAATAAATAATTTTCTACATTAAGAAAAAACATTTAAAAAATATTTTTATCTCTTATCATATTGTTATAGACTTATAATTATAAACTTTTAAAAAATTTTTTCTTATATTTAACGCGTTTAATATATAATATGCTAATTTTACTAATTTGTATTGATTGTACGTATATGTCTGTGATTAAATAAATGGAATTGCAATCAACGATACGTAACAATCTTTTCATCAATACCGACGGAATTGCACAGTCATATAAAAACTATAAAAAGCGTTATTGTTTAAACACGAAATAAAATTTTTATATGTTATATAATACCCACAGTTTTGGACTCTGCTTTCAAGAAAGAAATTTTTAAACCTTTTGACAGTTATGCTAATATGCAATAAATACTTTTCATTGACGTTGTCAAAATGTTAAAGTTTTATGAAATTTTATTCAGAAATATGTACTTTAGAAATATTATTTTAGAAAAAAATATACATATACAGGGTGTCCGAAAAATCGCTTACTCCACTTTGGGAGGTGATTCGGGACCCAAAAACAAGCAAAAAAGTTCATACAAACATAAGTCCGGAAATGAGCCGTTTCCGAGTTATAGCCATTTTTATGTTCAAAAATCGTAATTTAGAATCCGCTTGACATCCCTCTTTCTTAATTATTTCTTAAATTAAAAATTTTTATTTTTAAATATTTTTAATTTTTTTATTTTTTTTTCAATTTTTCAATATTTGTAAATACGATTACATTATTTTTAAAAGAAATCAGTTGTTTTCACGGCTACTTGAAATCAGTTGTTTTCACGGCTATTCAAAATCAGTTGTTTTCACGGCTACTTGAAATCAGTTGTTTTCACGCCTATTCAAAATCAGTAAGTAAATCACGGCTTTTCAATAAGTTTCAAATTATTATTTAACAACACCTTACTTTTAGGTTGTATCTAATCTTTCCGTATTCATCAATGGATCGTTTAAGTTTTAATGAATTAGCTGATATGCATCTTATGTATGGTCTTGCTCAAAGTAATGCTGCCGAGGCAAGAAGATTATACATCCAGTCTTTTCCAAATCGAGATGTGCCGGGAATAGCGTCTTTTCGAAATGTAGACAGAAACTTGAGAGAATCTGGTAATTGTAATTAAAAAAAATTGAAAATAAAAATTTACGATTTTTGAACATAAAAGTGGCTATAACTCAGAAACGGCTCATTTCCGGACTTATGTTTGTATGAATTTTTTTGCTTGTTTTTGGGTCCCGAATCACCTCCCGAAGTGGAGTAGGCGATTTTTCGGACACCCTGTATATACATTTATACATTTGTATTCTTCTCCTACTACATATATGTTCGCGTGAATTGAATATTAGTCGAATAACATATTTGGAAATGTAACAACGAGGTGTAAACATATTTTACCTTTTACTGTTTTTGAGCATATAGTAGATAAAGATGTATACTACGAGAAGATAATATTTTATATAAAATGTTTCTACAATCCTTACTCTTGTTTTTAGTCACATATATCTTCAACTTCAAATATCTCAGAAACTATAAAAAACCACTGCCTGATCCAAAAAGCGCGTTTTACTCAAGAATGAAGACTTTGGCTATTTTAGGCGAAAAATATGCTTGTGGGCTTTAAAATGCCTTTAACAAAAGAGTTAATAAAATTATAAGAAAATTGCTTTCTGGAGGTTTTTGAGTCGCTGAATCTAAATCTAAGGTCAAAACTTCAAAATTAAAAATGGCAGAAAAATTTATAAATTAATTTTATTTAAACCAAGCGATATTTTAAATTTTTTGGCTGTCATATTAAATCCGTCATTTTAACTATTAACAAATTTCAATTTTAAAAACGGAATCAGCGGCTTCAAAAACCTCTCAAAACCTCTCAAAACCTCTTTTTATGCAATTAAACTATATTTTGAATGGTCATATTAAATTTGCTGGTCCTCTTTTAAAAAAAGCATGTCGTAGGTGTTGTTGTCACTTTTCCGCGATGCCGATTGGTTTTCTTGCTGCGCTTACTTCATTTGCAGCTGTCATTGTATATTTTGACAGTTGTGTGTATCAAGGGTTAATAGTGTAATAGTACAATAATAGCATAATGTTAAAGCTAAATAGCGCGTGCGAAGCGCGCGTCTGTAGTGTCTAGTCATATTAAATTTGCCATTTTTAATTCTGAAAATTTTATTTTGAATTTGAAAAAATCAGCAGTTTCAAAAACTTTTAAATATAAATATTTATGCAAATTGACAATTTTTTGTATTTTTAGTCAGCCATATTAAATCCGCCATTTTAAATTTCGCAATTTTAATTTCAGATTTGAATTTAGCCATCCCAAAAACTAATTCCGTTAAAAGTATCTTTTCTTGAATGCGGATTTTTTCGTCATAAATAGTTCTGGCTAAGGGTTCTGGCCAGTTTTTTTGCGGATATTTCCGTCATTGATAATCAAGGGATTAACCCTCTGTAACATATGTCAACGTTATTCGTAACCTGTGTAAGTTTTTCTGTATATTTACCAAATTTAAAAAAATTTTTTTTTTAATTTCTTGTCATATTGTTATAGATCATGAATTTAAAAAATTATTTTGTTATTAAGTTATTAACTTTATTTTTGCAAAGTTTCAGATTTTTAGGAACTTTTGGGGTGTCGAGCCTTCATTATAAAGATGACTTTGTAAATAAAAAATGTTCATATTTCGTCAGAGGAACACTTAAATTTTGTTTTTTTTTTAAGAATTTAACCTTTTTGAGCGATTAGTAATTGCAAATTAATAATTCATAGAAAGTTATGTTTATTTATAATTAAATATATTTATATAAATATATTTATTATTTGGCCAGTCGGGTCGAACAAAAACGACTTTTGTTTTTTATTTATAATTTCATGTGTTTAAAATTATTTGCAAAATTTCTTTTATAATCTTATATAATCTTATTTTACAGTGTATAAATATATTTCTTAACCATTATGAATCTTAATTCTAGTAATATCTCTAGAACAGTAACTCTCGAAATGGGTAATTATTTAGATTAATGAACCCTTCTTCAATGACCTTAACCATGACATATATTATATAGGTCACTCTAAGTAAACCTTCAAAAGGTTTTAACCGTCGCTCGTTGTTTTATTAACAAATTATTAACAAAAGAGTTTGAGAAATATAACAGTTTGTGTTAATGATAAGAAAAGTAAT